ATATATTGTGTATTTTTATACGTATATACTTCTAAACTGTTGCATTCTGGGCACCTCTGCAAAAACAGTGATTATGTGTGAGTGAGGTTTAAGTGTTGAATGATGATGATGAAAGAATTTTCTTTTAGGGGATTTTCTTTCTTTTTGAGTCACCCTGCCTCGGTGGGAGACGGCCGACTTGTTGAAAAAAAAAAAAAAAAAACACGGACTCACAGGTAAGGACCTACGAGGGGCGAGGGGCAAGTGGGGACAGGGTGAAGAATAGACAGTGAGAGGAATGTCTTGAGTTGAAGAGAAGAGTCAGGACTAGATCCAACTGCTAAGCCTGGAAAGCAATGACGAGGACGACGTAGAAGGCACTGGAACACTGCAGAAGCTGACTGCATCTTGCTGGATGGAAGAAAACTGAGACTTGCTGGTGATTTGTGGCTGCAGGCAACAAGGGAGGAGCTTATTGTTGATTGGTCATTTCATGGAGTTTGGTGATTACTTTGAGTTGTGACATTGTTTTACGATAACATCTTGCTTGTTGATTTCTGTACCATTTTCAAGACGTTTAAATCGTTGGATCAGGATGATCATGAGACGTGTTAGCAAGTGTTGATAAATGGGATCTTGAGAATTATTTTCAATGTGCTTTTGAAAACAAGAAAGTTCTGTACCAGGAGCTCTGCAAGTTGAGTCGATGGTAAATTTGACTTTCTTTTGGATGAGATGAGTGCTCAGTTCTGGTAACAGCATATCTTGAGCATAATTAGTGTGGTGTAGAAAGTGATTCCAAACCATGGATAATAATTTTCTGCATCTTCATCAGAAACTATCATTTCGAGAGTCGTAAGATGGTGTTGTTGGCACAGGTTTTTCATTCTTGTTAAATGGTGTTAAAGGTGGAGGTGAAGATTCGATGTCATCTTCAGTAGACGAGGAGGAAGATGTTGTGGTGGCAAGGTTTCTGACTGGGGGTTTCAATGAGGAGTGAAGGTGATAGAAACTTAATACAGTGGAACCTCAAAAATCGAACTTAATCCGTTCCAGGAGCTAGTTCTAAATTCAAAAAGTCTGAAATTCGAAGCAATATTTCCCATAAGAAATAATGGAAATACAATTAATCCGTTCCAAAAACCCAAAAATATTCACACAAAAAATACATTTTATAGAAATTAATTACAGTTTTACATACAACAAATACTATAGTTTTTAATTTTGTATAGTAATACATATAAAATAACATTTTTACTTACCTTTATTGAAGATTGGTGATGGCATCTGGAAGATAGGGAGGAGGAGAGAGGGAGTTAGATTAGTGTTTGGAAGGAGAATCCCCCTACATGAGGACTTCAGGTAAAGCCCTCTCTGGGGTTACTTCCCTTCTGTCTTTTAATGCCACTAGGACCAGCTTGAGAGTCACTGGACTCCTGTCTCACAAAATAACTGTCCACAGTCCTCTGTTTCTGGCACCTCTTTAACATTTCCCTAAAATGGGACATGGTTCTGTCACTGAACTTGTTGAAAAGATGGCTTGTTTCAGCTTGCTCAGGGTGGTACTTCTGCACAAACATTTGGACATCATTCCACTTGGTACAAATCTCCTTAATCTTTGAAGAAGGCACCTCATCCACTCTCTATATTAACACCTTTCGCAACATGAGCTTCCTTGATTTGTTCTTTCTTTGACAGGATAGAACCGATGGTCGACTTGTTTATCCCATACATCCTGGCAAGCTCAAGTCTCACACCACTCTCATACTTCTGTATTATTTCCTTTTTCACATCTATGGTGTTTCTCACTTTCTTTACCACAGGGGTACCACTAGCAAGTTTCTTTGGGCCCATGGCAGCTTATTTCACAGTCCCACAAGCACTAAACACAACGAAATAATCGTAAAAGGCGTGAATGAGAGCGCAGGTTAGTGTTCACTGCTCACGGCGCCTGCGCGGGGACGCGGACAGAGCGGGCCGGCAGACAGGTCCCGTACCCGGCAGTCCGAAAATAGGGGCACGTTCGATAATAGGGACACAGTTTGTCCGAAAAAATGGTCCTATTTTCGAAATGTTCGATATGTGATACGTTCGATTTTTGAGGTTCCACTGTATATACTCTAGAATGAATAAAAGAAATCTAATATATACTCTAGAATGAATAAAATATGTCATTATGTAACAGGTGGAGGCGGCCACAACCGCTCCCTCTTTGTTGTGGTAAACACTGCCATCTAGTGATGGCCTTTTGAAGCCACCTATTATTATAATTATTATTATGTAGTACATTATTATTATATATGTATTATTTTTTTTTTTTTTTTTTATCACACTGGCTGATTCCCACCAAGGCAGGGTGGCCCGAAAAAGAAAAACTTTCACCATCATTCACTCCATCACTGTCTTGCCAGAAGGGTGCTTTACACTACAGTTTTTAAACTGCAACATTAACACCCCTCCTTCAGAGTGCAGGCACTGTACTTCCCATCTCCAGGACTCAAGTCCGGCCTGCCGGTTTCCCTGAACCCCTTCATAAATGTTACTTTGCTCACACTCCAACAGCACGTCAAGTATTAAAAACCATTCGTCTCCATTCACTCCTATCAAACACTCTCACGCATGCCTGCTGGAAGTCCAAGCCCCTCGCACACAAAACCTCCTTTACCCCCTCCCTCCAACCTTTCCTAGGCCGACCCTACCCCGCCTTCCTTCCACTACAGACTGATACACTCTTGAAGTTATTCTGTTTCGCTCCATTCTCTCCACATGTCTAAACCACCTCAACAACCCTTCCTCAGCCCTCTGGACAACAGTTTTGGTAATCCCGCACGTCCTCCTAACTCCAAACTACGAATTCTCTGCATTATATTCACACCACACATTGCCTCAGACATGACATCTCCACTGCCTCCAGCCTTCTCCTCGCTGCAACATTCATCACCCATGCTTCACACCCATATGAGCGTTGGTTAAAACTATACTCTCATACATTCCCCTCTTTGCCTCCAAGGACAAAGTTCTTTGTCTCTACAGACTCCTAAGTGCACCACTCACCCTTTTCCCCTCATCAATTCTATGATTCACCTCATCTTTCATAGACCCATCCGCTGACACGTCTACTCCCAAATATCTGAATACATTCACCTCCTCCATACTCTCTCCCTCCAATCTGATATCCAATCTTTCATCACCTAATCTTTTTATCCTCATAACCTTACTCTTTCCTGTATTGACTTTAAATTTTCTTCTTTTGCACACCCTACCAAATTCATCCACCAATCTCTGCAACTTCTCTTCAGAATCTCCCAAGAGCACAGTGTCATCAGCAAAGAGCAACTGTGACAACTCCCACTTTATGTGTGATTCTATATGTATTATTATATGTATTATATTATTATATTATTGTATTATATTATTATTATTATACATATTATTATACATATTATTTTTATTATCATTATTATTACAATGTAAATAATTTGTAATTTTTATTCCCACAAAAAATGTAAGATTTACTGTTATGCCTTATTGCAATAATTGTATAAATAATGTCAACCCATTCACTACTGCATATTGGAATGGCCAGTGACGTCATTTGTTTACTCTTGAACATAACCAAGCAATGGAACATTTGTCCTACGTTGAGCTCAATTTCAAGGTACTTTTCGTCATGAAAGCAATCAAAATCATATCTATTTCTGTAATATATCTTCCATTCTATCAAATGAGACCAAAATAACGAGAATACAACCATAAAAACCATACAAAAATACCGCTAAGGGGTGGCAGATTGCTGAGAAGTGAACTCCATTATTTACGCTCCGATTTCTTTCATTTTTGGTTTAAGTTAAGAAGTATCTTTCCATCATACATTGCCCAGGTTTCAATAAGATAGTCCAACAAACAAATGAGATACAATTCCCTAGATCAAGAGCAAGAGCCCCCTCACCAGCATCAAGGAACCTGCCTTGAGGTCTGCTCGCTTATGGAAATTTTGCTTGTGTATGGAAGCAAAAAATCACCCATCAACTGCTCGTATTTGAAAAAACTTGCACGTGGATGCGCTAGCAAGTAGAGGTTCCACTGTATATACAAAGAAAGATAGCAGTCAGCAGGATTCGAAACTACTACTACTGAGAATGGTCAAGATTCTCAGGCAGTGCTCTAGTCCACTCGGCCACACAAATGCCACATAGACTGGGCAGCCTGGTTCACAAGCCATGTTTCTTTTTTTGTGAACCAGGCTGCCCAGTCTGTGGCATTTGTGTGGCCGAGTGGACTAAAGCGCTGCCTGAGAATCTTGACCATTCTCAGTAGTAGTAGTTTCGAATCCTGCTGACTGCGATCTTTCTTCGTATATACCCGCTTGTTTCTGTGTGATGCATCGATATAAAAATCGCTTGAGAGGTCAGAACATACAGGAAGAGATTGAAACAGCTTGAATCCATGCTTGAGGATGACTGACGTGCCCGGGCTGGGAAAGAAACATGGCTTGTGAACCAGGCTGCCAAGTCTATGTGGCATTTGTATGGCCGAGTGGACTAGAGCGCTGCCTGAGAATCTTGACCATTCTCAGTAGTAATAGTTTCGAATCTCCTTTCTTCTGTCTCATAAACATGCAAGATTTCAGGTACGTCTTGCTACTTCTACTTACACTTAGGTCACACTACACATACATACACAAGCATATATATACACACCCCTCTGGATTTTCTGCTATTTTCTTTCTAGTTCTTGTTCTTGCTTATTTCCTCTTATCTCCATGGGGAAGTGGAACAGAATTCTTCCTCTGTAAGCCATGTGTGTTGTAAGAGGCGACTAAAATGCCAGGAGCATGAGGCTAGTAACCCCTTCTCCTGTATATATTACTAAATGTAAAAGGAGAAACTTTCGTTTTTCCTTTTGGGCCACCCCGCCTCGGTGGGATACGCCCGGTGTGCTGAAAGAAAGTAATATTATAAATATCAGAATGGTCATATTTGAAACCATGTGAAAAGTACTAAACCATTTTCTAAGTATACCTCCTTGCCTTGGGCTCAGCCTTATCTGCTCCAATGGCCTGCAGTTCATCATAAATTTCTTGTAAGTGATCCATATCCACTTCTTTGTTTTTCTTCTTCATGTCTGCTTCTAGTTGATCTTTTTCTTTTAGAAGCTCCAAACGTTTCTCATCTGCTTGAAGAACCACATCAATTGCAGGGGTGTTATCAGCAATCACTTCCTGCAAAATCATTACTACCATAAAAAAATTGATGTGAAATGTAACTTACGTAATATACGGAGAACAGCACAAAGATCAAATGGTTAAATATATCCTTCATTTGCAGTTAACCACTGCAAATCTCCACTTACCAGCTGTAGCAGTCAAATTTCAATTTAGAGGGTATACAGCTGCCTTCGACCAGTATTACGGTCTGTTAGGCTTAAAAATTATATGGTGAAAAATCCAAGAAATTGTCTTCAAAAGCATATGATTTTCATTGTGAATTTTTTTAACTATCACTCTTTTGTGGCCACCGGTCTGTATAAAAGTGAGCTATTGAAAAAAGAATATTTACATCTTGAGGGGCTTTAGCCCCTTTTGCTATTCCTGTGGCTGCACCAATGCTCTGCTTGCTAGTTATTTCTACTGATAAAAGTGTGCAGAAACTTGTAACCTCCACACATTCTCAGATGAAGGTGAATGCAAAAACCTTTAGGGGACCAATGCACATTTCCATCCTATAACATAAAATACTGTACTGTGATCACAACTAAGAGGTAATTAAATGATGTTCCATTATATATTCAGAAACAAGTAAGCAAAGATTTACCTGCTCACAATATAACACGTCAATATTTGGAGGAATGTTGAGGATTCTGGATTGTATATGGCGCAGAAGAGTTGTCTTGCCGTGCCTGTAAAATACAATTTTCTTAAAATATGATAATATTTTCTCATGTGTTTCTCAGTTTTTTGTAAACTGAGAAGAAACCATTATTTCTTGAGTGCAATATTAAAAATATGTTAGCAATTTTATCTAACATTTTCCTGTCTAAGGGCAATGTGTGGTGTAAATATTATGCAGAAAATTCGGAGTGTGGAAATTAGGAAAAGGTGTGGAGTTAATAAAAGTATTAGTCAGAGGGCAGAAGAGGGGTTGTTGAGGTGGTTTGGTCATTTAGAGAGAATGGATCAAAGTAGAATGACATGGAAAACATATAAATCTATAGGGGAAGGAAGGCGAGGTAGGGGTCGTCCTCGAAAGGGTTGGAGAGAGGGGGTAAAGGAGGTTTTGTGGGCAAGGGGCTTGGACTTCCAGCAAGCGTGCGTGAGCGTGTTAGATAGGAGTGAATGGAGACAAATGGTACTTGGGACCTGACGATCTGTTGGAGTGTGAGCAGGGTAATATTTAGTGAAGGGATTCAGGGAAACCGGTTATTTTCATATAGTCGGATTTGAGTCCTGGAAATGGGAAGTACAATGCCTGCACTTTAAAGGAGGGGTTTGGGATATTGGCAGTTTGGAGGGATATGTTGTGTATCTTTATACGTATATGCTTCTAAACTGTTGTATTCTGAGCACCTCTGCAAAAACAGTGATTATGTGTGAGTGTGGTGAAAGTGTTGAATGATGATGAAAGCATTTTCTTTTTGGGGATTTTCTTTCTTTTTTGGGCCACCCTGCCTCGGTGGGAGACGGCCAACTTGTTGAGAAAAAAAACAACAAAAAAAAAAAAACTCTTAATTACTTAGTTTCAGTTTAAGGCTTGAACGAGAATAGAGGGACAAAGAAATGTGTAGACGAGAGTTCTACATAACTATCAACCTAAAAACAAGTATACCTGGAGAGGGTTTCAGGGGTCAACACCCCCATGGCCAGGTCTGAGACAAGGCCACGTTGTCAGCATAATTCAACATAAATTAGCTGTGATGACACGGACTTCAAATTATTATTACAATTGTGGGTAAACGCTAAACCTGTAGGATTATACAGAGCCTGGCAGACTTCAAATACTGTCAGGTCAGCAGAGTTCAAACCCTGCCAGAAGCACTGCAGTGAGGGAGAAGTTAGTCAGACACGTACCCTCAGGCAGACAGGACAAGACTGCAGGTTGGGTTTCCTACTACCTATACTCAATATACGAGTTTACCATCTTAGTGATTATCATTTACCACATGTACTCCACTTAAGAACCCTTTCCCGACATCGTGGTGGATCAGGATCTGATCAACCAGGCTGTTAGTAAGTGAACAATTAAAGGAAACATTCAACAGTACTTTCCATCTCCTGGAGGTGGAAGTACAGTTCCTGCACTCTGAAGGAGGGGTGTTGATGCTGCAGTTTTTTTTTTAACTATGTAGGCGTGCCTCTGGCAAGATAGTGATAGAGTGAATGATGATGAAAGTGTTTCTTCTTTTTTGGGTCACCTGCCTTGGTGGGAAATAGCTGATGTGTTAAAAAAGAAAATTATTCACCAATACCTATTCTCCAATTTTCAGAAGTGTACAGATATTACAATTAACCCTTTCAGGGTTTTTGACGTACTAGTACACCTAAATTCCAGCGCCCTCAAATCTAGCTAGAGAAAACTCGTAGGCCTACATATAAAAGAATGGGTCTATGGTCAGTGTGCACATATAAAAAAAAAAATCCTGCAGCACACAGTGCGCAATGAGAAAAAAAAAAAAACTTTGACCGTGTTTTTATATTAAAACAGTGACTTTGCACTGTATTTTCGCATGGTATTTATTGTTGAATTCTAGTTTTCCTGGTCTCATTTTATTGAATGGAAGACATGTTACAGAAATTGAGATGATTTTGACTGGTTTTACAATGAAAAGTACCTTGAAACTGAGCTCAAAGTAGCAGAAATGTTCAATTTTTACCAAAGTTCAAAAGTAAACAAATCATGCTAAGCGTCCAATACACGTCAACTGGTGAGTCTAATATTCTTTCACAAGTACGCTGATATTATTTATACCATTTCTACACTAATGCAGTAGTCTGCATAACAGTAAATCTTCTATTTTTTTGTGAGAATAAAAATTTGAAGTGGAAAGCAAAAGAATGTAAGAGGGGCGTGGGGACATGACTAATGAACAGAGGAAATGTTATTTTATTGCCAGGAATGTCTTTCTTGTTTTTTCTGAGCCTTATTTGGAAATTGGCATCTTTTGAAATTTGTGTGAAACCGGCAAAATTGCTAAATTCTGACCACTTTATTGGATAGTTGAAATCAGTAAATGGGTGGTTTCTTGTACTCGTTCGACAGAAAAAATGGAGTTCCAGCGAAGTAGTTATGATTTTTGTCAACTAGTACACTGGAATTGGCCGAAAATAGGGTTCAAAGTGGGCAAAATCGCCAATGCATAGACATCGTTGAGACCGCTAACTTTGCGAGAGCATAATTCCGTAAGTTTTCCATTAAATTTCATACTTTTGGTGTCATTATGATCGGGAAAATATTCTCTATCTTTTCATAAGAAAAAATTTTTTTTTTTTTTTTTTAAATTTGGGGGACCCTGAGAACAAGTCTCTGAGAGGGCCTGTGGACCCTGAAAGGGTTAAAAGATGATATTGGATTCAGAACCAAAGAAATTACTGGTAGAGATTTACAAAAGCAACAGCATACTACTGATGAATAAACTAGATACATGACATAGTTGTTCCAAGTTTACAACTGTATTACCAAGAGGAGAGTGAGGGGTCCATACCAATATGTACAGTAACATTTTTCTTGCTATTTTTTTTAATATCAGCCATTTCCTACTACTGTAGGGTGACCCAGTGGCGTCGTAAGGGGTGGGCGGGCCGCCCCGGGTGACACCCTTTAGGGGGCGACACCACAGAGCCTCTAAAGGTGACACTAATGACCAAAACAGTGCTGCAGCAACACAAGAGAAAAATCCTTCGTTTCTATATAGCCTGTTATAGAATTGCAGAGTACAAATAGGCCTATATAGGGAAAATGATTGATTTTGATGATGTGATAGATGATTTTGCAGGACTGAAGACAAGGAAATGTAAGATTAGATTCACTGAAATGTTACCTGTACTCAAGGTCAAATCAAAACTAATGTTTTTCTTTATTTTCAAGCTTTTTTTCATTGCTGGAGATGAATAAATGTTGGACCTGTTGCCTATACTCAAAGTGGTATTTGAGTTTATGTTTCCTCAATACATGTATTACTATGATTATTTATTTAATCAATAATAAAGTTTGGTTTATGGCCTTTAACCCTTAACCCTTAAACGGTCCAAATAGATCGACGTTCAAATCCGTAGTGCTCCAAAAGTAGATCTATGTTTTTTTTACACATTTTCAAATGTAAAAAAAAAATGATGTACATTTTTTACATACTTTCAAATGTTGAAAAAACGTATATATATGTTTGGACCGTTTAAGGGTTAAACTGTCCAAACGTTGATCTACGTTTTTTCAACATTTGAAAGTATGTAAATAAACGTACCTCTTTCTTTTTTTTTTTTTACATTTGAAAGCATGTAAAAAAAAAACTTTGATCTACATTTTTTTTATATTTAAAAATATGTAAAAAAAAAAGTAGATGTACTTTTGGAGCACTACGGATTTGAACGTAGATCTATGTTTGGACAGTTTAAGGGTTAAATGTTCTCACTGCTAAACAATAGCCACTGGTCATGCAGCAGTGATGTAACTGGCATTTATTCCCCCTATCCCCTTGGATTTCATGGGGGTGACAAAAGATTCCGCCCCGGGTGACACCAACCCTAGCGAAGCCTCTGGGGTGACCCAAAGTAGTAAATATTCAGCGTTGTTATTATTGCTATTATTGAAACAACTGGTAGTTCAATACTCAGATACTAATGTTCAGAAAAGTGCTGGTAAATTAATAGGCATAATGCAAAAGGAATATAAAGAAACCTAAAATGGGCTACTGAAAAAATATCATTAAGGAAAATGGTTAGAATAAACAGTAACTTTAGAGAGGGGAGAGAGAAAGGACACCAGTAACTTAATCAAGTGTTGTAAAGTCTAAATTCAAGTAAATGAGATCTAAAACACAGAATAATGCTTGTGAGAGCACATATAAACAATAGAAGCCAATAGTGCAAAATTCAGTTTTAACATAATTTAAGCCATCTATTCAGACCAGGACATCCTTAAGGATAAGAAAGGCTTTTGCTAGAGAAGTTAGAAAACTTACCCATTAGGACCAACTAGACCGTATCTTCGTCCATTGGCAATCAAGAGAGAAGCATTTGTGAACAGTGCTTTGCCCTTTGCTGATATGCTGAAATTTTCTATCTGGAAAAGCATCAAAGTGAACGTTACTTAAGTAACAAAGTGAAAAATCTTCATGTTTCATGTCCACTATAAGAGCATATAACAGCCAAAGGAAAAACCTTATACAATACAGTACTACTTGCAAAAGTATGAATAACAACACATTCATGCAGTTCTGTTTTCTAATGTTATAGGTAAGAGTGCATGCATTAGTAACAAAAGCAAAAATCTAGATAACAATTACTACTATTTTAACTCTTCCTTTTCCAATAAAATAATAATCTGTAGCTCAAATTAACATCTACAGTGGACCCTCGTTTTTCATAATTAATCTGTTTCAGAGAGCACGACTATTATCGAAACTGACGATTTGTGAATCCATTTTCCCCATAAGAAATAATGTAAATCCAATTACGTAATTCGTTCCAGACACCCAGAAGTATCAACAATTTTTTTTTTACCTTAAAGATAGATTTACATGCACAAAAGAATGAACATTCAACATGACAGTTACCTTTATTGAAGGCTGTTGTTGATGAATGGAAGACAGGGAGGAGAGAGGGAAGAGAGGTTATTGTTTGGAATGGGCATCCCTCTCCATAAGGACTCTAGGTCACTTCAGGAGTCACTTCCCTAGCTTAAATATAGATTTTTTACATGGCAGTTTGGAGGGATATGTTGTGTATCTTTATACGTATATACTTCTAAACTGTTGTATTCTGGGCACCTCTGCAAAAGCAGTGATAATGTGTGAGTGTGGTGAAAGCGTTGAATGATGATGAAAGTATTTTCTTTTTGGGGATTTTCTTTCTTTTTTGGGTCACCCTGCCTCGGTGGGAGACGACCGACTTGTTGAGAAAAAAAAAAAAAAAAAAATGCAGAAAAGAATGCCAAATAAATGTAAAGCACTAATAAAATGTATAAATGAACATTTAACATCACACTTGCCTTTACTGAAGACTTTTGTTGGTGTATGGCAGACGGGGCAGAGGGAGGGGAGGCGAGTTTATTGTTGGAGAATATGGCACTATCAACTCTACGGCTTATTCATCTAACACAATTCAACTAATATGACATAATAAACAATATTAATAATATAGAAACATGGAATATACTCTAGAATGAATAAAATAAGTCATTATGAATGCCATGAGAGGTTTTTGTGGTGGGGGGTTTTGGGTTTTTTGGGTTGTGTTTTAAAGGGCCCCACTGAGAGCATAAAGCCCCCCAAAATGGGGTTTGAAGAGCAGCTAAAGGCGGCGGGGTTTTTGTAGCCCTATGTAACTCCAAAAATTTTTGGGAGGGTTGGTAAAAATTGCTGAATCACTGAAAAAGGCCCCCCTTTACCCCAATCAAAACCATTTACCACCCTTTTCCCCCAACATTACCCCCTTTTCTACCACTATCAAAGCTTCCGAAATCACTACCCCTTCTACCCTATCACAACCCTTCCCACCCTCAAACCATTTTTTCTACCACCTTTACCAAAATCACAACTGCTACCAGCATCCCCCCTAACCAAACTGTCTACCACTATCAAAAATCCCTACCAACCTTACTACTATAAAACCATCCCAACCCCTCTACCCACTTCACAACCATTTCCCCCCCTTTCTCCCACCATCACAAAAAAACTAGCCCTTTCCCCCTATAAAAAAACTGTCCCAAACTTACCCACCCCCCCCTTCATATTTTCCTACAAACTTTTTTAAAATTAGTGTGTTTCTCACTTTTTTTTTAAACCAAAGGGCGGGCATAAAAGTTTTTCTTTGGGGGCCATGGGGGACTTTTTTTACCCAGTTGAAAGAACTAAAAAAAAAAGGGGAAAATTATTATGAAATGTATCATATAAAACTCGGGAGATCCTTTCACTCCCTGAAAAAAACCAATAGCACATGGCTGGGGGGGGAAAGGGGTGTGAGGGGGCCCCTGGGGGGCTGTGGGGTTACACGTCCCAGACGAAGGGGCTTTTGGGCAAAATAAAAGAGGGATTCTAAATCAATTTTTTGATGAAAAAAAAACTTTTACAAAAAATTTTTTGGGAAAATTTATGATTTTTGGCCTTCAATTATGAGGGCCCCTTTTGCATTGGGATTTTTTTTGTCAGTTTTAGACCCAAATGCAACTTTTGTACCCCAAAATAGTTTTCTCAAATAAATTACAGTTTTATTATTTACCCTAATAACACATCTTGTAAAAATACCCTGTAAAAAAAAAATTTATTTTTTTTTTAATCTCAAATTTTTTATATTACAGTATATAACATTCTTTAAATAAAATTTGCAAATTCTTTTTAAAGGGTTTATCTGACTGATTAAAACCCCAGGGAAAATTTGGCTTTTAAAATTCAAAAAGGGAAAAAATTTCTAAAAAATAAGAGCCTAGATTGGAAAATAATCACATTAGTTTAAACCCAAAATAACCCCGGAAACCAAGAAGTGGGTCATTTTTTTTGGAGCCCCTTTTTTTCATGTCCTTCCCCGGGAAAAAAACCCCCAAACAAAAATAACTTCCCTGGGATCGTTTTTTTCTAGGGGAATAAAGGGGGGGCCAAAATATTTGGAGACCTGCCCCTTTGTCCAAATTTTTGGGGGGGGGGGGGGCCCCACGTGGGTTTTTGTAGAGAAATAGAACTATCGAGTTTCGAGGGAAAGGGATTAGTTTTTTTCCCGTGTTCCTTGGGATATTTTTTCCCGAATTAGCTAATTCTCAGCTTTCCTTTTCCCAAAATATTTAACAACAATCCTCCTCATTTCCCAAATAAACAATAGTGCCCCAAAAAAAATTTTGGTGTCGTGAAATGTAGATGACTGCTCATGCAGGGCAAAATTTTTTTACTTTTCTTAGTTTTGTGTTTTCTTCCCTGCCCGTTAAAAATTCCCCATGAAAAAATTAAATTGCTTTCATGCCCAGCTTTTAAAAGGTTCCCATTTCCTAACTTAAAAATGCCCGGGGTGTGGTTTGATTATTGTGCCACCAGCCCAACTTTGAAGTGACAGGGGCCCTGAGTTAATACAAATTTAGGTGCCGACCCTTTCCCTGATGGGAAACTCACGGCACCAAGGCCCGCTATCAATGGACTGAATTTCATTACAAAAAAGGGCGATTTCCAGCAAAAAAATGTTTCCGGAAAAATTTTCCGGGGTATCAAATTTTGGCTGTTTTAAAAAAGGTTTTCCCAAAACTTGTCCCCTTTTTTTTTTCAAAAGTTATATATTGTTTTAGATATACATGTATATATAGAAACTATCCCGGACAAAAAAAATTAAATTTAAAAATTTTAAAATGAAAGTAAACATTAAACTTGTCACAGTTCAAGTTAAAAAAAAAAAAGTTTGGGCATATCTGAAGGATTATGAAAATTTATATTTTTTTTTTTAGAAAATTTTTTTTTGCCCGCCTTTTTATAAACAACTGAACCTTAAGTTTTTTGGGGGAGAATATGGCTTTCCCATTTGACTACAAACCTTTAAAAGGGTTAAAAAAACAGGCATCAAAATTTAAAACAAAAGGGGGAAAAAATGAAGATTCGTTCAACAAAGGGGCTGAATGGAAACCCCCTTTTTACTGTTCATTCAAACCCCATATTTTTTGGGCTACTGCATTTTCTAAAATGCGAAATGCTGTTTTTCGGATTTTCAGTTGGGGGACCCCAAATGTTTATTAGGGACGAGGGGGGGCCATGACCACCCCTTTTTAAAAATAGTCTCCATTTTTCTCTTTACTCAAACTGTTGCCCTTATCTTCTTCCTTTCCTTGTGAGGGCAACTTCTTTAAAAACTTCTTTTTCTGTTTTTAAAAATTTAAAATTCATTATTTCAACACCAAATTATTAAATTTTTTAACGTTAATTTCAGCCCCCTCCTCAATTAGCGCTTTTATATCGTTTTTCCGAATGCTTGGAGTTACGACGCTCCCTTTAACCCAAAATGCAAAAAACCTTTTACATTGGAGTAATTCCCCCTCCTGTTTTTAAAATTTTTCCGTACCTACTGTATAAACATTTAAAAAAAATAAAAAAAATGTTTAAATGGGTTTCAAAGGGTGACATTAAAAAAATATCTAAAAAATAGTCGACACAAAACCCCTTACCAGTTTCAGTAAGTCCTCGCTTAAAACCCAAATTTGCTTTTCCGTCCTACTTTTTAGGAATGGACTCGGGCGGGTTTTTAAGTGAGGAGAGGGTTTAACCCCTATTCATTTTAAACTTTTTAAATTTTTTTTTT